TGTTTATTACACCGCCTGAGTTGAATTTATATGCAAAAATTATTAGGAAAATAAACATTTAAAATTCCGGACAGGGTATATTATGTATATTATGTGCTCATGATATTAAGTTATATTATTATAATATTATACAGCGTATGGGATGTTTTACATTCATTTCGATTCACTGATATCAGCCTACAATAACGGAGTATTTTTATACATTTCATAAAATTATTCTCAACGTAGTTCAGTGTACCACAGTGTTTATTGGATAGGTAAGTACAGTTTGAAATTTTAAAAATTTGTTTGAAAATAATTTATTAAATATTTATTTAAAAAATATATAGGTGCGACTAAAATCTAATTTTATAAAAAACGGGTTAACAGTAAAATTTTCTATTTTTTTCAAACAATAACATCTCTGGAATTTGAAAATTACGTTTTCCGAGTATAATTCTCACATGGAACATTTTGATTAATCTTTCTATTAGGTAAAATGATCAACGTTGAGATTGTAAAACCAATTAATTAACATCGCATATCCCAGGATCTATAATACAAAGTACCTACGATTATAAAAGATGAAAAATATTAATTCCTATTCAGAGGAAAAATGTATTTTGTGAATAATATACCTATATTCGAACGTTATGCGTAAATGTGTAACAGTCAATTAACACCACCCAACACCGAAGAACGGCTTATGTCGTTTAACGCCCGTGAACCAAACATGACAATTAAGATTACACAATACAAGATGCTGCAATAGTAGTTTGGTTCTGTTCGATTTATGTCAGAGCTAAGCATCGATAAATTTTACTGAAGAAAGAAAATGGGCAGTGTAAGGTAGACTTCAGCGAAGACAGCGAAGTGCTTATGTGGACTTGCCTTACTGCCTATAGAGAAAGAGAAAATATCACACAGGACGATTGTCAATAGGTAACCCAAAAAACCGACACAACATCCCAATAATACAACCTCGACTTTTGATACGAAAAAAATAAGATTGGTAGTTACTTACAAAACACTGCGAAAAATGATTGCAATCACCGTGATTTGTCTTGCACATTGTAACGGTTTTTTACCATCAATAAACGGAGCTCAAGCGGAGCATTAATTCCTAATAAATCATAGGCAGAGTTTGCAAGTTCTCGGATATATATAAATAATTATTACTTGGATAGTGACAAATGGATTATTAGCAGATGTTTATACGACGGTAGAAGTATAGATATATAAAACAGATATAATATTATACAACATTTTGTTGGTCCCGTTTCACAGGTCCACAAACTATAAAACAGTAGGTTGTACTATTGCTTATAGTGAGTTGTGACAAATTAAAAATAAACAAATTTCGGCATCGAAATGTGTTTTTAAATTGTATGGTTAGACTAGTTGGATTTTAATATAAAATGGTGGAGCTCCTTTCATCTACATATGTACAAACAATACAAGGCAACTACAGATCATAGGCGCAGCTAGGGGGGAGCTTAGGGGCTTAGCCCCCCAGAATTATTTGTATTTCATGTAGTTTATAGGGTTTTTTTTTTATTATTATTAATTTTTTTTGCAGCCCTCCAATATAATTGATCATCCTACGCCTATGCTACAAATAGTCCATTGTATGTATTGAGACTCAGAATCCATACTTCAATGTTCACTATCTTAATACTTATAAATAAAAAGGTGCTCTGCTGTAAAGTAGGTTACAAGTGGGTCACTATATAATGGATTGTATTAAAACTGAATTCAATGATATAATATCATTGTAGAAGAAAAACGATTCTGAGCGGAGACGGTATGTCAGCCTAGGTTTAAGACATAGTATATACATATCAATGGTAATAAAAAAAATATGCATAGTCTTATCATTGAGTATACTTCTTATACTTTATACTATGATAGATTAGGCCATAATATTTTTAACTTACAAAAAAAAAATCTTTAATATTGATTTTAATAAGTAATTTCGTCCAAATTTGATATTAAAATGACTATAAAAATAAACTGTGCTTGAGTATTTTTTAGATTTTTTGGTAACAGAATTAACTACTTACATGGAATCTTGTTTTAAATTTTCAATCCTAAAATATAAAAGTTGAACATTTTCTAAAATTTTTAGCAACAAAATAATTATTCAATTTTAAATTTGATAAATTTTGTCAAAATTCGATCATTAAATGCTTAAAAAAAAATTGTGCCTATGTATTTTTAATATTTTTCAACCGATATTGTAAAAATATATCAGGAGCTTTGTATTAAATTTTTACACTTTTTGGAACAACAGATAAAACTTTATTGATATTTATAGGAATAAACTAAAAAAATCGAAAACTTTAAATGTCCGTAAACAGCTCAAAAATAGCCAAAATATTTTCAAAATTGTATGGTGTATAGGCAATGCTAATATAAACATTCAGTGAAATTTTCATAAGTACGGTTATTCGTTTTTGAATTAAAACAAAATAAGGAAATCGCTACATGAGAAATCAAGTGAATATCCAATGTTGTAAAAATTTGAATTTCAAACGCTTTTAAAAATTTAATTTGACTTTCTTATTGACATTTTTTTTTTGATAAAGGTAAATTATCTTCTAAGGAATCTTGTATTACATTTTAAAACCTTAGATTTAAAAAAAAAAATGTTTAGGAATTCTTAACTCAAAAAAATTTTTCTAATTTTTGTGATTTTTCCATATTTTGTCAACTTTTGAACTTTAAATGCTTACAAAAAAAAAACTGTGACTAAGGATTTTTAATATTTTTCATCTGCCTTTGAAACAATATATTAGGAGCTTTCTATTAAATTTTCAAGTATTTTTACTCAACAAATAAAATTTTATTGATATTCATAAAAATAAAACTAATAAAATTGGAAACTGAAAATGTCCCTATAAACAGTTCAAAATAAATCAAAATATTTTGAAAATTTTATCGTGTATAGAAAATGCAAATATAAACAACCGGTGAAAATTTCATGTATCTACTGTAATTTGTTTTAAAGGTACACTAAAAACCAATGGCGATTTTGCGTAAAAATTCCTATTTTTCCTTAATTTTTCAAGGCGCTTTTGAAAATTACTGGGAATTTTAAATTTTGACCTCCCCAATGCACCAACAATATTCACTTTCCAATCGAACAAGATACTGAAGTTGAAAATCGAAGCATTATTTCGAATACTTGACACAGACATAAATAAAATTAAAAATTAAAAAATTAAAAAAAAACACATCGCTTTAAAATCAGTACATTCATCGTTCCACTCAGAATCTAAAAACTATTCGTTTAATTACTAATACTTAAATAATTCAAAGTATAAAATAAAAACTTGTGTTATATAATTAATAACCAAATCACTATAGTATGATAAAAATAGTAAGGAATACAAAGCTTTATTTCTAGAAAATACTTTTCTATGAATATATTTGTTCAAAGACGCATTGTTATAAATACATATATATATTAATATTTATGTATAGGTCCTGCTTAAGACCTACTTAATTAAGTACAATCGTATAATAGTTAATATATAATGGAACTTTATCAAACAAAAGCGTATTATAAATACCTAATTACATTATTTATACTGGATGGAGATATTATCATATTTAATAAGGTTCGTTGATTAGGTACCTACAAAAAAAAAGTTGTAATCAAATTATTTTGTACTACACAACTCTCTAATTATTAAGTACTAAAATTCGCTCATTTTAAAGAAAAAAAAAATTACGATAACTTAAAATACAATAGATGTGTCTATGATAATTATACAGTTTATCTATTCATTTAAAAATACTTTTAAAATAATAAAATGTACCTATGTATAGTTAGTTAAATTTATAAAAATATGTTTTATTAGTAGGTAATGTTTTTAAATCGTTAGTGTGTCATATCGAATAAATTATGCAAGCAGGTCGTGCGTTACACTCATTCTTCAAAAAATAATAATATAAAAATGCTTAATAATTTTTAAATTATTATTTTATTTTAACAATAGTTATTGCTGCAGTGGACTAAGCCGAAAGATCGTAAATATTATAACGCGCATACACAGTGCACTTAAAGTAAAAATTAAGAATAAAACAGTTATATCATATTTTCTACTTATATAATAATATTCAGAATGTACAACTTTACCGTTTAAAATTCACGAACTCTGCTTCAGGATATAAACTGTTAATGTCTTGATTTAATCAACAGTTTTTCAATCATAGTCATTTCCTTGATTAAATTATTTTCTTACTAATTTAATCAAGTTGAAAAAGGGAACCTACCTACCTTATTATTTAGTATAAAATTATATTATATATACATAAAAAAAATTTGTGATGTTGAAATTACAGCGTGGCTGGGAATCAGCTATAGCATGGTGGCTTCGAAAAGTTTTGGGTGAAATTCTCATACCCAATGGCTACCAAAATGGTTATGATATAAAACGGATATTTAATATTTTTACCCTCTAAAAGAGTTAAGCCGAGGAGATGACAATTTTGGTGTAAGAGATGGAAGCTGCAGAGGAAAAAGGATAAAACGACTAATGGAAATCTCTGAACAGTCACACCAAAACGCTTTTGATAGAGCTTATAGGTATATATTTTATATATTGTAGATACAAACGTAAGCCTTTTTTCCAGAACGAATTAAATCAACTACGATCCTATAGTAGTAGATGCTATATACGAATCTCTGCAGTCTTTTTTTATCAGTAATTCAGACAAAAAGTGTGGACAACAACACAATGCTAAATATACCTACCACCAAAAATATACCCTATATGTTCAACCTACAAAATCGTATCACGAATCTAATCATTTCTCTTCAAATTCTCTTTTTTCTATTTATTTTCTGAAATATCTACCTAATGTGTTTATTGTACACAATTTTAAATTGGATTTCAAAAGCACTTAAGTGCTAATCATTTTACGCAGATCCATTCACTCTTATTTAGTATTAGAAAAAAAATGTTTCCCCGTATCTCCCTATATTAGTTAATACCGATAAACAATTTACTTACTAATTCAACAGAACCATAATGACGCCTGCTGAACACACCCCGTCGAGATATGAGATCATTAGAAGACGATCTGAAAAAAAGTAAATTATTGTTTTAAATTAATATATTATTAAATTTTAAATTTTGTTTAAGTTTTGAAAAAACTCTTACGACGATAAATATTATCCAGAATTAATTCAAATTAATCTACTCATAAGATGTTAAACGTAGGAAAATAAGCGGTTACACAGTATTTACTTATTTACTTATAGTCTAAAACTAATATGTGTATAATGTATACCTATATTTTATTATATTATATTATGTGAGTATAAAATGTAAAAAATCCTTAATAAAAATATGTATAAATATTTTCAGTTCATGAATAAATAAATTAACTAGTAACTACCTATTACATATTATAACAACTTATACGAAGACTATATTATTACTGGCCTAACTAAACGAAATATATTCAATATTATACACAGAGTAAATAAAAAAAAATATGGTTTCTCCAACACAAATGTATATATTATACATTTTTACCAACTATTATTTTAAAATAAATAATTTATTTTTATTTTTTATTAATTAACCCGCGGAAACTTAGGCCTTTGGGTCGTTTTTAACTGTGGGGGAGGGTACTGTAGGTTTAAATACACGTGTGTTTGTTAGTTTGGCAGAATTTTCTAGTGGGCACCCGTGGGTGGAGGATGGTAAAGTTAAATAATATATACAGTAGACGCCGCTTATAAGACTCACGGATATAAGGTTCAGTCGCTTATTAGACTCAAAATCGTCTAGAACGATCCGGACGTATCCAAATACATTAAAAAAAAAATCGGTTATAAGACTCAACACTTCGGTTATAAGACTCAAATTTCGTAAAATAAATAGTAGAAAATAAACTTTTTTGGTTATAATTTAGAAATAAATTGGTATTGAAAAATTAAATAATATTCGTGTTGATTATTTCTAGTTTCTGGTGGTACTTTATAACGTATAATAAAAATAAATAATAAATACATTATAACATAATGTACATACATCCTTTATAATTTTTTATTAATGTATAATTTTTATAATATTTTTATATGTAATATTTACCTATTATAATTTTAGTTTTTTTTTATCAGGATTATTAAATTTATTCAATAATAAAGTATGTAATATGTGTTAAAGTATTAAAATCAAAGCAAAATATGTAGTAAAATAAAATTTATAAATACGTAATTAATTTTTTTTTTCCACTTCGCCTATAAGATTCATTCGGTTATAAGACTCACTTTGTGCTGGTCCCAAAGTGAGTCTTATAAGCGGCGTCTACTGTATAAGGTGTATCGCTTATGTGAAATTATAGCTGGTATTTTGTTGAGTACAAACAAAAAACATGTACTCAACTAACAATAATTTCATATTTTAAATTATAAATAATTGACAAAAATAAATATAGTTCAGCAACAATAAAAGTTACTACTACATAAACTAGGTAAGAATAATAAGACGAAACAGTTATAACTTATAATCAATGAAAGAAAATAATTTGAAATGATATGAATCATAATTCATAGCTTATTATGATGATATTATATTGTAATTAAGTACCTAACTATTTTTATCTAGGTATTTATCAAGTTTCATCTGATTTGAGATATGCGTAACGATAATTAATTGATAACATATTTTATTTATCCGTAGGGACATATTTTGTAATTATATTAGAAAATACAGTTATTCCTTGATATCTAATAAAGTCACTTAACAAGTACCTATGTACTTTACACTGATATATTTCAATTAATAATATTTGGTAATAAATCTACTATATTGATATTATTTATAATTATGGTATTCACCGTAAGTTCACAAAAAAAGGTAGGCTGTACATTTTTTTTTTTAATTAAAACATGTACTATAAAATAAATCAACTATTTTTGCTTATTTACTTATTTGCATAATTTTCTTTTAAAAAAAGGATGAAAATAAAACAGTAGGTAACAGTTGTAAAACAATTTATCGAAAAAGTTTTTTCTAACATTAAACTTTAACAAGAAGCCATTAAAAACAGTGTTTTTGGCAAGCTTTTGGGTTGAGTTTTCTTCTCCATATATCTACGGGTATCTATATGACGTGTATACATTATATTATTTTCCTTTGATAACACAAAACCAAAATATTTCCCATCAATAACTTATGTTGTACATTTAATTAACTAGGTAAGGTTCTAGGTAAATATTTAAATGCATTGCATATATTTTTGAATACTATAATTTTAATCATACGATGAGATAATAATATTTTATAGTTTATGATACTGAATTTAATTAAAATAACTATTCATTTTTGTCTTATATTAAAATCGCTTAAAGAGTAGGTAGACATATAAGAATAAGTATTTTTTAAATTAAAAATGTTGAGATTTTTTAACTATAATGGTTATCCTTTACCTACTTACATTAATTGTCAAGTCTTAGCAACACAAATTGGCAGTTTAAAATAATATAATGTTAACCTAAATTAAAATAATGAATGAGTTGCTCTAACTGTTCTCTGTTGAACCTTTATCAAAAAAATTGTTCGACTTATATTTTTAACTTTTTAAGTAATAATATTAATTTTAATAACAGTATAATATAGTCACTATATGTTTTTTTAACTTAAGTCGAACTCTAGGACTAAGCCTGGATCCAAGACTAGTGTGCCGTATACTCGTTTATAAAAACAAATTTTTAATTCATTAACCTAAATCAAAATTAGTAAATATTACTTAACAAAGTAATTTATAGTAATAACAATATTATGACATCAGAAATATCAATTCGATATAAATTTGACATTTGTACAAACAATGTTTTGAATTGAGCTCAAAACGATAACATATTATTTAACATTTACCAGTGAAAAAATTAACCGCACTCATGAATTTGACAAGGTTTTCAAATCCCCTTGATAGTGCACATGTTGCAAAGCTTCAAAACACGAAATCGAGCATTCATAAGAAAATATCAAGTACATGAGAGTTTACGCTTGTATGCATTTTCATAACAAAAATTCATAAATAAATTCAAATTTTCCACTTGAATTGATACCGTAAAATATACAACATTAAGTACTCAATAAAATTCTTAACGACTCAAGTATATTTGCATTTAGAGGGATTCAAGAAAAATATGTATACGCCTAATGTTTTATCTTATAGCATTATTTAGTGTGCATAGTCGATTCAGTATGTCACTATTTTACGATGGAAATATTGTTAAAAATAAACATTACCCAATGGAAATGTGTTTACAAAAAGACAAATCTAAATATTACACGTGCTATGAATTATAATTTATTTTTATTTTATCAAATACTATTTGCTATAAATTACAAACATCGTGTTTACAATTTTAATTGTTGAACATGACTGGTTTTTTGCAATGAATTACAGCCAATAACGTAGCTATTAATATTTCAAATCCTAATCATATTCTAAGTACATACTCATTACTCATAGTTACATTAATTTTCTCTTAGTTATACGTTATGTTACCAACGTGTGGACGAAATAAATATTTCGTGGAATGAGGTGTGCAACGGGTGTCTACTGGCCTTCTGTTTTTTTGTTTTGTTTATTTATTATTATTGTTTAAGAGTTATTATTTTTAAACAATTACGATCGACTGTTATTCAGAGTTACCAACTTTGTTTAATATTTAAAAATATACAATTTAAACTACGATAAAATTAATCTATATATTACTTATACTTAATACTTATACATTATTATTGCCAATTTTTTTAAAAATAGAATCTTAATTGTGTGCCCTGATTTAGAAAAAATAAAAATATTTTTTAAATAACTATGGATGAGGAGGAGTTCTCTAGTTCCTCTCTGTAAGTTAGGTTACGCCATATCAAAACTAAATCCGACGAGTACTTGCGATTTCCATTCTGACCCTGCTGTTCCAATTGCGTCCGATCGTCTGATGCGGCGAAGCTGTTTTGTTTATCGACGCATGGGACGCATTTACTTTGGACACGGCGTATAGTTAAAAGTATAGTTTAAATTTCCGTTCTTCTATACAAAACAACTAATCTAACCTACTATTTGGTAATAAATGTAATAATTACTATTGGAAATTGTTTTTAGTAAAAATATTTCGTAATGTTTAAGTGTAATCTGAGGTGGGTGAGTAAAATGATATTGGAAGAGAAAGGAATTTTCACATGATTTTCTAACCTTACCCTAACGAAAAATGGAAATGGACGATCGAATTATGGGTATGGTAGTGCAAATACGTACTGAATAATGACGCAGGAAAAAATCTGGGAAATCCAAATATTTTCCTTCGGGTCGGTGCTAGGAAATGTGCAAATTAGGACAAACTATAATTTATTTCAGTGCAAGAGACGTGCAAATACATGCTAATTACTAGAGATCAAGATTTCCGAAAAAACCACGATTTTTTTTTGGAAAAATTGGAAAAATTTGGTTCCATTTAAAATTTCCGGAAAAACTGGTTTTGACAAAAAAACTGAAAAATTGAATGAAATAAATTTTTCTAATAATTAATATTGTCATTACTCTTATTTGTCAATCATGCGCTGTCTATATTTATCTACAACTTAAAGTAATATTAATTATATAACATTTAAAAATACAGGTGATTTGTTTTCGGGGGAATACACTCATAAGTACCTATTGATAATTGATATCATGTAACAACATTATTTTTAGAAAAATATTGAAATATCCGTATTAATATTTTTAATAGTTTAATTTTAAATTTTAATACAATGATACATTGATAACCGTATTGGAAAATGTGAAATGACAAGACAGATTTCCTTATCTATTTTATAAAATGGTTTTTTCTACTTACATTATTTTAATTTTTAAGCGTAAATAAAATTTTATTTCTCCAAAAATTCGATTTTTTATTAATTTTCGGTAATCTTAGGTTTTTCTCGGAAAAGCATTATTTTAATATTCTCCAATTTTTCCACATTTTCCAAATCTCTGGGAAAAAACGATATTTCCCAAAATGTTCCTTAATTTTGATCACTATACTAATTACGTCCTTGGATAGACACAAATCACTGACCCCACACTTACTAATCTTTGATTTACGCTTAAACCAAATGCATAAAAATTGTGAAATTTGTCGTGAAATATCTTACTATTTACATGATAAATAATTGAATAAAATAATTTTCAATTGGGGTGGATTTGGGGACATACGCATTATATTATTTCTCAACATAAAAAATATTATAAAATCAAGATAACATCGTATGTATAAAAATAAATTCTGTATTCAGTTTAAAGTATGTAGTCGATATTGTTTTAAATTATTTTTGTGTTTTTACATTATTTTAACTAAACGTAAATCTGGAAATATAAAACATGTTAATTTAATGTTTTTAAGTATTTGATGACATGCCAAATGTTCAGTATAAATCAATATAGCAGATATGATCTATAATGCCATTGAATAAAGTGTACTATGGGGTATAATTTTTCTTTTTATGATTGCGTATAACATTTTTTTACGATCCAAATACCACTTTGAGAAATATGATAAACTGATGCACCGTGGGAATTGAAAACGGTTTTATGGATTTATCATGAATCATGGTAAGTAGTCCCATGCTACAACTTGCGAAATAGTACCTAATAATTACAAATATTTCTAGCCAGCTCGTCATTCGTCCAATCATATCAATGTCTTGTGTCCACTGTGACAGTAATGAACATTTGGCACAATACACAGCTTAAAGATTCGTTTAAGATAACTACAATGTAATCACATATTGGCTTTTAGATCTAAAATCTAAATAAAACACTTTCTGGAGCTTTCTACATTGGGTTTCATACATAGGAAGGAAATGTAAAATTAACTTTTTGAATATTGTTGCTAATCCCATACAATCAACAACAGTTCCATGTTAAACATTTTAATTAAAATAAATTGAAGTATTACATAATTACGATGTTACTTAATCATCCGGAACATTTTTTTAGTAAATTACCATGTCTTTACTCTAATCAGTAGGTATGTTACATTGAATAAAAACATGTAAATATTCTTATCAATAATCTAATAAGACCAACATCATAATTACTTTTAACTTAAAATACCTATACAATTTTAATTTTACGTTGACTAATATTAGGAATAGTGTCATTTTATTAGCTTAGTACAAAATTAATAATTACATACAAAATAAATATCCTATTGTTTTGTTATTCATTTTCAAACAAAGTATATAATATTATATATGATATTATTATATGGTCACAAATATTTTAAACTACTATTATATAGCCTATTAAAGATTACCTACTTTATATACATGTATGTATTTTTAAAGGAATTAAATGTAAAAAGCGGTATAATATAGTATAATCATTATAAATTGAGAATTATATAAAAGTTTTTTGATTTTCACAGTAGATTCTCTAAACGTAAGATAATACTTTCTTTGAAAATGGTTTTTAATTATTTATTATGGATCATTGTTATTGTGATTCAGAATTCAAATAATGAGGACTCATTATTTAATAAAAAAAATGTCTTACAAATATTATAGACACTATAATACACTGATATCTGAAGAAAAGAGATAAGTGTCAAATATCCGGTGTCTAAGTTTGTTTTTATTTTAATATAATTAGTAAACAAACAATAAAATCATGTTACATTTTAAAGCTTCTCAAATGATTAGCTAATTTTAAAGTTAAATTGCTTGTTGCAGACACCTTAGCTGAATTGTATTATTTAAAACTAAAATTAAAGTTTGTTATTAGATGATACTATATGAAGTCATTTACCGATTAATAAATTATACTTTATCTTAATGTATTAAAAAAATATTTTTAACATTTATAGAAACTTTTAAAACTTAACATTTTAACGAGTCTAAATTACAAAGTCCATTTAAAGCCGATAAACGGTTAACTTTTTTGATACATTGTATGTTAGGTACTTTTAGAATAATATTAATCTTTAATGTGAGTTTTTGGAAAATACCTACAAAAGAATCGATAATAATAACGAAAATAAATAAATAATATAGACATATAGTATGTAGGTAATTTATGATGATTCACATCGAATAATAGTGATTACACCATTTATATACAAAATAGCAATGCAATACCAACTTTACTGTGAAGAATAAATTTTTTCTACACAAAACTTAATGCATGGGTAATAGAATTGGGGCTTGCTTATTGATGATCTGAAAATTTTTGAAAACGCAACACAATTAATATTATCTGGAAAAATATCTAAAAATAGCAATATGTTACCTAACTACCTAAATATTTTTCACGAAAAAAAAAATGTAATGTTGATTTGTTTTTTATGGTGTGTCAAACAGAGTCTATAGTATATGTAGACTATAATACGATGAATAGTAATTCGACAAAAAAAACCAATAAGTTATTTATGTCTTAATATAATAATATCGCATTTAGCCGAATGACCTGAAGATATCAGGATTAAATTCTTTTTTTACGGTGCACTTTAAAACCCAAACCACCTGCCATAAGTCATAATAATAACAATAATATTGTAGGCGTTAGGATTTTGCAAGTTTATGACCCTTAAATCAATTATCTTACACCACACACCACGCTTATTTGTCCTAAGCGTTGAGCGCATATCTTAAGTATTCGGCCGCGGCCGCGCGGACAGCGTTTCGTTCGCGAACACCTTTAGTAAAATGAAAATACTCACAGTGCGGACGAGGCCCGCCTCCTGTTGAGCTCTCTGACCGGTATAGCGGCCGGGTGAAGGAGCGTGGCCAGGCCCAGCCGTTCGACGCACAGCGACCTGGACCGGTCCCTGGCCGCTATGATGCCAGCGGATGACGCGGCGCGGGGAGGGGCGGCGGCCACACTCAGCCGCCGGCCACCCGGTAACGTGGACGGAGGTGGCGGCGGCTGTTGTTGGCCGTCCCTGTTTTCCAAGCCCCGGAGACGCGACACCAGCTTCATGGTGGTCGCCGACGACGTCCGTTCGGAGTCGCCGGCCAAGCCGTCGCCGCCGCCTCCGACGGACGACCGCCGTCGCCACGCTCGCGAGTCCGTGTTGGAAAGAACGACAACGACAACAACAATGACAACGATGATATTACGGCAACGGCAGTCCGACGGGTGTTCCGGCACGCGGCTTTTGCGAATCGGTTGAACGTCGCGGGTGGAGGAGAGTTTGTCTCGCGATTTTCGACTTTTGTTATATTTGGAATGAATACTCGAATACCTTATAAAAAATAGTATTCCGAATAAAGTATTTAAAGTACATTTTAGTTTTTGTTTTAAATATTAAACTAATGGTACTTTTATTCAGAAAAATAAGATATTAGCTCCACTTTATATAATTTTTTAACTCGAAATATAATATAATTTAAGTTGATGATACTTATGTATAATAATTCATATTGTAAACATTTCCAGAAATACAAGGAAAACAAAATTTTCACATTTTGGAAAAAGTATTTTGAATATTTTAACCGGAATACTGCCGAAGATTGGTAGGTTGGTCATAGGTACTATAATATATTATAATTCAACATAAAGATAATATTTTTGAGTCTACAAACTGCGATGTGAGTGTGTGTCCACCCATCACCCATCCTAAAATCACTCCACCACAATCTCAGAAAATTCCCAATATTTTTACATAGCGATAATTTAGCAACACGTAATTGTAATAAATAATAGTATCTTTATCGTCGACACTTTATCAATATCTCCCTCCCGTCATCCGTTCGGTAATTACAATAACGATATTAATAATATTATTATCAAGTTAACCAAAGTTGTCCGTTCTTGGTTTACACACTATCGTATCCTGCATAATTTAATTCCAGTTTTTTAATTGGCTAGATGTTGTTCTTATTTTTTTTATTATACCTACCTACTATGTTACCATGTGTTACCGTAAAATTTAAAAATATTATATTTGTCGACGTGCGGTTACAGTGGTCAAACTTTTAGGTCTGACCATTCAATTATTACTACTGCTTAAACTCTGAAGACTGAAAAGTTACACTGGCTAACCTCTAATCAGGTTTTAAGTATGTCTACGAAGGTTATGTGAACAGATAATAGTAGGTACTAGGTACTTGAAAAAAATCGTTGAACAATATAAATAAAATAATATAAGTACGTATATTGTAGAGCATAATACGTAAAAATTAAATCACATCACTATAATAGCGATATTCAAAAATAATTTAATATTATTATACTACCTACCTACATATACATTTAGTATAAACAACTTTTCAGACTAATATTTTAGATAAATTTAAATGTATAGGTACGTAAATTTATATTTTTAATTATTAATTTTAACTAAAAGAAATTTAACAACTAATTGTTTGGTGCAATAATTTACATATCGTTAGTAGTAAATATATTTGATAATATTATTGTGAATAAAGTAATTTATATAATATAACCTATATACCTTGTTTTAAATTTTAAATTTTGTAAAATCAATACATTCATCGTTAGACTCAGAATCTAAAACATAATGTGGAGTGTAGTTTATTTTTTTCGACAGTGGTAATTCTGGAAATTTTGATGACAAAATTTTAATTTTTTTGACATGGAAAAATTAAGAACTTTTAGCATGTTCAAAACACTGGTTTGCTGATGGTATATTTTCATGATGTCACAATTATTTTACCAATTACATATTATTATTTACGATTCATACAATTCAGTTTTCTATAATATCATACTGTTGGTATATATTTTGTTACCGAACAAAAAAGAAAGCACTTATAATACAACGTTCCGTAATTTAAAATTAATAAAACCAGATTTAAATCCAGTTTCATCCAACTTCGAAAAAGCAGTAATGAATTCTATTAAAACCGAATTTCTACAAACTAAAATTCAAAGCTGTTTTTTCCACTTAAGTCAAGCCATATGGAGTCGTATTCAAGAATATGGTTTATCAACTGAATATTGTAATGAATAATGATTCTGTATTTGTTTTGAAAAAATTAGATGCTCTTGCCTTCGTTCCAACAGAAAAGGTGACAGAATACTTTGAAGGCCTTTTAGAAAACGAATTTTACACAAAATATGAAGAACTGTTGTCACCACTAATTTGAAATTTCATACTTCGAATTTACTTGGAATGCAAGCTTAGAAAGAAGGAGAAAACGAAGATCTATCTTATTTTTAGTTGTTTTAATCGTTTGGAAGATGATCTCCCAAGAATCAATAACAATATTGAAGGTTTGCATAATGGATTTTCTGCTCTTTTAACACCTTCACATTCTACCTACTATATGGAAATTTATTTTTTGTTTGAAAAAAGAAGAAAGTATTAATAAGAGGGCTATTGGACATCTTATTGCTGGAGATGTACCAGCAAGAAAATCGATGTATAAAAATACAGCAAAATAAATGTTACATTTATGCGAATATTTCGAAAACCGACCACACAATAAGTGATTTATATTATAATATAATGTGTATTCAGCAATAGTTATATTTGTAACATGGTTTTAATTTGTTATTTTATTATATTTGTTATGTTTAATTAATTAAGTATATTTTATTAAACATGATGCGCTGACTTGTCATGCGCTGAAATGTCATTGCTGAATGGTTATGCGCTAAATTGTCCTCAATCTTTATGTTAATTAAAGGCTATTATGTGTGTTATTTTTACCATCTCAACATTGTATTCATTTAGGAAGGCACTGTGATTCATAAATAAAATTATTTTATAAAAAAGTTATGATAAATTCAAATATGTAGATACATTTGTCGAATAAAATAAATTTTTTCTCTAGGGCACAACTTGTGTATCAGCAATTTTGTCAGGACACAACTCTTTAACTGCGGTTTTCTGATGTTATTCAATAATAAACATTGAAACAGCCTTTTTCGTGCGACTGTGTTACCAAGGAGAGGCAGAAGGAGAATCCAACCTTATCTTTCAAGGCACGGGATTAAAATTTAAAGATAACAATAACCATTTACATTTAACTGTGTGGTGTACATACATTAAATAAACCGTTAATTAAAACTAATCTTTGCATGTTGCGATCATGTGTGATCTTTAAAATATAAGAATTGAGGATTTTCAAACTTTTTAGTTTCTAGAAACACTGTACTTTCACCATGTGTATATTATCCTCCTAATACGTTTAATATGTAACATAATATGAATACGTTTTTTTTTTTAATTGTTCCAGAAATTTATGAGGGAATTCGGTATTACTGTTATCTGCTCTACCGGACCATTATTTCAGCAAAACGAACTTCGCTTCCCTCCCCCTCCCTTGCACAGGTCCGCAGAATAATTAACTCCATACATTGTTTTGTTAATTATTATTATTACTATATTTATCCCCACTGTTTTATTTTTTGTCTTTTGACGAGTAAAAACCGGTAAATGATTTTTTTTTTTTTTAACTAACTTAAATAAAACGAAACTATCCATATCAGGATGATTAGTAGGCACGTATGAATTTCATACAAATTGTAAAATGTATTTAAAAGGGTTAATTGTTAAAATTAGAAATATAAACTACCAAAATACTCCAAACACTTTGACTATAGTTCATGAATATCAAATATTTAATTTACTACTAATGCAAAATATACGAATATCTCGAATAAACACAATTAATTTATTCAAAATAATAATTATTGTTTGAACTACGTATATAAATATGATAATATAATGTATATATTATATTATTACTGTAAAAGTACGAATAACTGTGTAACCTAGGATTTACCTGTGAATCGATTAATGTAAGAATTTCGGAATGAAACCGATTGATTTAGGTAAAACCTAGGATTTACAAAATAGTTTCGTCCCCGAATGATTTTTATTGTTCAGACTTATACAAACGAGATTTGGTAAATCTTAGGATAAACAACCAGTGTTGGTGAAAGTTTAAAATTGTTTACCAATTGTTGTGTGATATTTTTCTCCTTTTTCTCCGTATAATATCATTATTAATTACAAATTACAATAGTATACGTTATCATAAAAACAACTACTATTAATTTTAATGTATATTGTTATTACATTAGCTACTATAGTATATTAGATCCCAAAAAAAACAATCCACCTAACTCTGTGTAAAAATAACGTTAAGTATGAAAAAAACAGCTTTAAAAGTTGTGATATAATTTTATAGCTAAGTCTTTGACATATAGATATCATTTATATTAAAATAGCCTGCTAAATAATTGAACTTAGCTTGACGATAGAATAATATTAAGTAACAACTTTACTAAAACACTTAAATTTATTATAGTAGTTAACTATTGTACTATTGTAATTTGTAATTATTAATTATATTATACGAGTATAAAGCAAAGGGAAAAATAATACAGTGATTGGTTAAACATTTTAGACTTTCACCAACACTGGTTCTTTATCCTAAGATTTACCAAATCTAATTTGTAAAAGTCCGAACTACAAAAATCATTTGGGATTTGACCAAACTATTTTGTGTATCCTAGGCAGTAAGTTTCACCGGTATTCGTACTTTTACCTAACATAAATTTATAATATAGGTATTATCTACTATGTAATAATAAATATAATATCATATAGTATGTGTGTGCACTCGATAAACGTGTTTCGTGACCATAGTAATATCTAACAAAATAACTGGATATTTCCAAGAGGAAATGCAAAACAATTTAAAAACATATTGTGACAGAGGAATAAAATTAGAGTGTTTCGAATTGTTCATTCGTTGGCAAACATAACGCGATATTCTGCAGTTAACACATCTATGCCATGACATCGAGTATGGATTAAACATTACAATCTGCACTCGATGTTTAATGTGGAGTCGAAACGTAATAATTTATTGTTAATCAAAACACGATTTGGCCACGATATAATACTGTGTGGTGGTATATTATTTTAAAATCAAACGTTTTTTGACGATATTATTAAAACACGCATTGTATACTATGGTAACGCGTATGCAGTTCATATT